TTGTTTCTAATTAATAAATACGCTCTCTTAACTGTAGTGTTTTTACTGATACTTCTAAAACAGAGGCAACCGTTTGAATCAAATCTACTTTATTTTTGCTAGTATTACAAAGCTAAACTTAGCCCTGATCCTAACACACTAACCTTCCCTACCTAACACAATAACAGAAAATTAATATTTGATTGTCTAAGATAAACTGTTCTTATATGAGGAAAAATTGCACTGTAAAGGTTTTCAATTATCCGCAAAATGTTCGAACTGTCAACAATATGTTCATATTGTTGGGTAAACGTTCAAATTGTGGATAAAACCATTATATTTATTACCACATATACGTCTTTTAGAGTGTTTGAATTCTCATCGAAATGTTAATATTCTTGGGAAAACGTTATAATAGTGGATAAAAGCTGTCAGATTTTCGTCCATCTATACTTGTTTTAGCCATGGCTAAAAAAAACCTCTAATCTCTCAAATCATAATATCACAGCAGCAGTTTCTGAAGCTCTATAAATGTTGATATCAGTGATGTAAAGGCTTAACTAAATCCTTAAATCCTAAGCTTAGAAGACCAACTAAACTAGTGTCCTACTCTTCTTTCAACACTAGAGGTTTTTTATGATAGTTTTCCATAAGTTTTTTTTTTTTTTTTTTTTTTTGTAAAAAAACAATAGGTACAAGTACTCAGTGATGGGATGCCTAGCTTTTAACTACCAGTTTGCACCTCGATGCAAGCTAAATCACAACTGCAAAGATACTAAATTAATACTATAATAAATGAATAATAAACGTTAAAATACGAGAACGGAAATAATTTTTCCCACATTGAAAAAGGTGCCGGTACGCCGAACCGGTGGGTACCGTCACAAAAAAAAACAACAACACTGGTTTACTATAATTAAAAAAAACAAAATTGCTGCTTACTCCCCCCCCTCCCTCCACCACCAACCCTCAAGCAATGCAATCACTCTCCACTGAACCGTCCATTACACTCAAGTGACAGTCAATTTGGCAGCAGTCGGTGAAGAGATTGCTGCTAGTTCAGTCAATGACTGTCATATAAAAAAACTGTCCACCGGCGTCCATCTTAATAGCTTTCTATCGTTCTCATCACATTTTACACATAACACCTGATATGTTGGTAGCTATATAGGTGTCGGTAGTAGTGTCTGAAGACAGCAATTAACTATATATATATATATATATATATATAAGCATATATATATATATATATATATATATATATATATATATATATATATATATATATGCTTATATACGGATTTATATACATTATATATATGTGGAACTGGAAGTTACAGTGACCGCTGTCTGCCATGATACAAAAAAAGCCCACCGTTGACAAGGTGGCCTTGACCCAAGCCCCAACAAGATTTGATTCATTGATTTCTGATGTTGTAAATCAATACGACCCTCGGCTCCAATCTCCCGTAATTAAGATTAGTCACGAGTTAACGCGCCTTCAAAGGCTACTTCAGATGCTAGATTGGATGTTCGTGAAAAACTGCAGACCCACTACCCCCCTACCCCCCCCCCCCCCCCCCCTTTCCTGATGACCTGATTGGGCGTCTGGAATAATATCCTATCAACGACTGAGTGAAAGATGTTCGATAAGCATCAATATGTCATCGCTTATTCTATTTGAGACTTGAAATTTCATATAAGAGTCATATCTGCCATTAACATTTGGAGAAAATATTATACATATACAGTAGTAGAATTGTTTACTTCAAACTGCAATATATTTTTAACAAATCTGTAATGTTTGGGTTATTGAACTCTGATTATTGGTTAGTTTTTTTTTTTTTTTGTTGTTGTTGTTTTTTGTGTTGCATTGGCCATTGTTGTAATTTAGTAGGTAATATTGTGTAGTTGTCATTATGCATATATCGTAGCTCACAAGACGTTGTGAAATAGTAGCGGTGGTCAGAGTAATTGGCGTCTGTCGTTAATTTTAGAACTTAAACGTTTGGATTTAAACGTTGGAATATAGCTAGGGGTCGGCGTGGTCGAGTCGGTAATGCTCATGGTTGCTAAACCGAAATGTCTCGAATTCGAACCCTAAGGCAGACGAGGCTCGTTAGACAATTCCAAAATCAAACAATATTTCTCATTGGCGCATAACCAGTTGACACGTATAATTAGTTGTTTTGGAGGGGATTCCTTCCAATACTAAAATTAAGAACGAAGAAGGGCATTATTAATAATGCATAAACAGGTAATCAACATGTCAACGTATCATGTTGGATTTTAATCATGTTGCATTAAACCTATAAGTATATTGAACATGCTAAATTGTGTTTTTTTTTTAATGGAATTTTTAAACAATTTTTATACACACCATTTACTAATGCGTTCTTAAAACAATGTATTGTTAGTGAGTGTTTTATAATATTTGTGTATTAAAAAAATATGAAAGGTCACCCAGCAGGGAGGTAATAAAGATAAACATTCACTCATACACTGTGGGCAAAAAAACAAAGAACAAATTGCTCTAAATAGCAAGGTAAGATAACAAGCTGCGAGAGTTACGGGAATTGAATATGGACTAATCGTAACTTCAACTGATACGTGAACGATTTACAGGACATTCTTATGAACATTCCTGACATTGCTGTAAATCATAGCGAGGTGGGGGAGGGGGAGGGTTGAGGTTAAAGGTAAGGTTTACGTTTGGTTTATGTTGGATACTTGGTTTGCTGTTTGGTTAGAGTTAAGGTCAGTACAAGATCAGGTATCCACTGAAGTACCTAGACGAATGTTGTTAGGTTAGAGTTATGGTTAGTACTAGTTGAAGTTACTGAAGTACCTAGACTTCTTTTGATTTCTTGGTTTTACATTAGGTTAGAGTTATGGTTAGTACTAGTTGAAGTTACTGTAGTACTTAGACTTCTTTTGATTATTTGGTTTTACATTAGGTTAGAGTTATGGTTAGTACTAGTTGAAGTTACTGAAGTACTTAGACTTCTTTTGATTATTTGGTTTTACATTAGGTTAGAGTTATGGTTAGTACTAGTTGAAGTTACTGAAGTACCTAGACTTCTTTTGATTTCTTGGTTTTACATTAGGTTAGAGTTATGGTTAGTACTAGTTGAAGTTACTGAAGTACTTAGACTTCTTTTGATTACATTGTTTTACATTAGGTTAGAGTTATGGTTAGTACTAGTTGAAGTTAATGAAGTACCTAGACTTCTTTTGATTACATTGTTTTACATTAGGTTAGAGTTAATGTGAGTACAAGACAAAGTTTTTACTGAGGTACCTAGACGAATATTGGGTTAGTTACGGTCATTTACGGTCATTACTAGGTCAAAGCTACTGAATGTACATAGACGAGAGCTTTTAGGTTAGAGTTAAGGTCAATTCTAGATCAAGGCTCTACTGAAGTACCTAGACTAGAGCTTTTAGGTTAGAGTTAAGGTCAGTTCTAGATCAAGGCTCTACTGAAGTGCCTAGACTAGAGCTGTTAGGTTAGAGTTAGGGTCAGTTCTAGATCAAGGTTCTACTGAAGTACCTAGACTATAGCTTTTAGGTTAGAGTTAAGCTCAGTTCTAGATCAAGATTCTAGTTACTGAAGTAATTACTGAAGTAACTTGACCTGACGAAATGACCAAGACAGATATTCTCGTTCGACTCATCTATTACTATGGACAGATTTCAAAATAGATCTGTGTCACTATTAGTTAATTACGATAGGTTAATCCATGTATCCTGGCCTGTCTCTACGTATAGCTTTCAACATTTGGTACAAACTATTAAATGGTTGCATATTTTGTGAATAGTTTGTAAGAATGAATTGATAAGATCATTTTAAGACCAAATTGTGACTGGCAGAAGCAAAGAAACATATTTTAAACGATTTCCTCAACGTTTATGTCAGTATGAAAAAAACGTATACATTTCACAAGTACAAGTTTTTACTTTCTCGTATATACGTAGTATAGAGAAAGTATTGTAATCGTGCAAAAAAAAAAATCGAGATTTTTACAAATCTCGACGTTTTACACCTCACTGATACGGAAAAACATAATTTTGCAATCTTGTCCGTATGTCTGTGTGTGTGTGTGTGTCTGTGTCTGTGTGTCTGTGTGTAAACACGATAACTTGAGTACCGTTACAGCTAGGTTGATGAAATTTCATATATAAGTATTATATCAAAATCGTAGATCCTTATCAACTTCTGAGCGATTTCCGACAACCGGAAGTGGTACTTTTTCTACTTTGAATTTTTCAAAAGCCTATAACTTGAGTACTATTTCAGATAGATAAATGAAATTTCACATGTAAGTAAAAGATCTAATTCTCTACCTTCTGTTAAATTTTGAGTAATTTCCGTTGACCGGAAGTAGTAATTTACGCTACTTCCGATTTCTCAAAAAACTAATGTAAATTTTTAAAGTACTAATAATAATGCGCACTATTATGCACATTTTGTTTCGGCGTTTGTTTGGTGCGCAATGTTTTTTTCTATGAGATTCTATTCTATTTTTAAAAGGTTAAGTAATTAAAAATCATGTCTACATTCCAAGTTATATAAGAATATTCGAGAAAGTTTAGGGGAGATCACTCCCGGTTTATTTGAAACCTGTAATTATTATCAAAATTGTAGATTAAAATAAATATTCCAATTTTTTTTTTTTTTTTTTTTGTATTGTTGGCAACATTATACTTGAAATAATTGAGTGATATCTTTTCTTAGAATTATATTGTTTATAAATGAATACAGCTGTAACAAGGGGTATAAGTAGAGAATCCTCTTTAGATCTAGCAATCCAATTGGGCGGATGAAGTAGAGTTCATAACAGAGAATATAAAGAAACAAAAGTGTTTGAGGCAACCTCTCTAACCTCTCTAACTAATTTTTAACTCGATACATACTGAAGATCTAACCATCAGAAAAAACGTTTTACGTTTTCATGTAATGGAAATAACAAAACATAAGGTAGGTGTGAGATGAACATATGGCCAAACAGCTGACCTACCTCCTCCGTCTGTCCAGCAAGCATACCGTCTAATCTTCCTTACTCGTGGTTCAGTTTCCTCACACTTGTTTTCTCAACTCCTACAGAATTGTTTCCCATGGTCCATCAACATTTTAAAAAGTTGTCACAATTTTAAAAAAAGTTAAAACGGTTGTTTACTTTTTTTTATTCCTTAATTACTATTACTTTGTGTTTAGTTCTAAATAATCTAGTTTAATTTTTAAAACATATTTTTTCGAATTTTTAAAAAATAAATAATTGAATTTACCATATGGTCGCGGAGTGGATAATCCCTGCACTAAACTCCTTAAAGGAACGAGAAACGCTTATTTCCTGGTGGAAGGGGGAAAAAATTACCCTCTCGTTCGTAGTTTGAGCTGAGACGCAATTGCTGGAATTGGCGCGCGTGCGGTGGTGCCAACGCTATTTGACTCGTCTGACGGCATTGCGTGCACAGAATGGTGCGGCGTCAGGCAAATTGTTTGTAGTAAATTAGGAACAGTGTCCAGTTGTGGTCAGTCGTCTGACGGTTAAGCATTGCGTGGATAGAATGGTGGGGCGCTTGGCAAATTATTTGTAGTATATTAGCAACAGTGTCCAGTTGGGGTCAGTCGTCTGAAAGTTGAGCATTGCATGGACGGAATGGTGGGCGTCAAGCTGATTGTTTGTAGTAAATAAGCAACAGTGTCCAGTTGAGGTTAGTCGAGGTCTAGGGTCGAGCATCGAGTGAATAGAATGGTGGGGCGTTAAAGTAGTTTATAGTCAATTATAGTTGTCTTATAATGGCGAGTTTCTGTTGGAAGATCACGAAAGAATTGCGTGCGCAAAAACTGTGAAACGTTTGGGTAGTTTATAGTACATGACATTGCGCGGTCGTCGTTAGTCGTAGACTGACGGGCAAAGATTGGGTAGCTTGGTTTACATACAAGATGCCAGGGTAGGTTGTAGGACATGACCAGGGTCAAGCTGTGGTCAGTCGTGGTCATCGTCTCGTCTGACGGTCTAGCATAAAGTGATTAGCACGGCTGGACATCAGAGTAGTGAGTAGAAAAATTAGCCTTCGTAGCGACCCTTTCCGGCGCCCGGGGACAAACTTTTCGATTTGCACCCCCCCCTCAAGATTTCAATTTGCACCCCCCCCCCTCAACCTTTCGATTTGCACCCCCCCCCCCCTCCTCAAACTTTCAATTTGCACCCCCTCAACATTTCAATTTATTTTTCCAACCCATTATGGCGCCCCCTAAAGTCGGCGCCTGGGGACATATGCCCCCCCCCCCCCCTCTCGCTACGCTACTGCTGTCATGTATTAAGTAATTAAGAATTTGTTTAAAAAACAAAGATAGATCTTAATTAATGGATTTGATATAGTGATAATGATATGAACTATAATTAAGTTACAATGAGCAGTTTAATATAGCGTTGTTGCTTTTTCAGTCGTTTAATATACAAAATCTCGCCTCTACAAAATCTATTGGAATTTTTTGTGATAAAGCTCTTTGACTAAATACGGTTAAATGATCCAAAATTTCCGTTAGACAATGCAGCGTTTAGTGATTCTACATTGACCTTCTACAGCGATACCAAATCGCATAACGTTTTCAAATGACACGCATTCCTAAAGGAACGCCCCACCCCAGGGGAATATTTAGTTCCAGTCTGACTCTGCGGGACGCGGCGTCAGTATGAGTCTATGTAGTTTTTGTACTGTTAGATGCCAGGTCTAAACGTTGTGATTAAGTTTGTGGCAAACAAACTAACGTCGTTTATCTAAGTAATTACGTTTATTGTATTTTCTTTTCCTTAAATTAATTCAATTTTAACATAATGTGTTTTTACATCTGGAAAGTAGGCTTTTTTGTTCAATACTATTAATTTAAATAATTTATTATGTTTCTCTGGATAATATTTGAAACTTTACATACAGGAACTATGCATTTAATACTTTTGGAAATTCAATTTTTTCGGTAATAGCATAAATATGGTTTTTTTTATAAATTGCCTGAAACCGCTGATGACATCGCCAACCTAATTATAAATACTATAGGCTCAAAACTCTGTATAGAATCAGTGCACGCATGCTGCTACGTAACCGAGTAAATTTTACACATATACTAAAAACACTTGACCTTCACCTTACTGGCTACCACTCAAGACAACAGCGTAAAGCATCATCAGGAAAGTTGAAGTTGAGTAACATCAAAGTTATCTGATTACCTGAGTAGGTGAGACTATCCCCCCCAACCCCCCCCCCCCCCCACACACACACACACACACACACAATTTTTAGCGCAGTCAGTGCTGGGTGTACGGTAATACCAAATCTCGCTTCATTCACCCATATGTGATCGGGGTGAGGTTTTAGGAATTAACCACTTATACGGGGGTTCTTAAGTTTTCTAAATCCCTACCCTTGAAGAAGTAACGACGGTCCACATACTCAGTTTTGAAGAACTATACAGTGATATAAAAATGTGTGTCATTGATATCTAATTTGATAAAATTGATGTATATATATATATATATATATATATATATATATATATATATATATATATATATATATATATATATATATATATAGTTAGGAGAGCATCCTGCTAGTTTGCTATTTGATCAATGTAGACATAGTCATGTTGACCTTTAGCTAAAATATATCTGACAATACTTTTAACTCAGTTGGATTACAAGTTAACCGTTGTATGTTGTTGGTTTAGCGTTTGACCTAAAAATTTAATCTAAGCCGGTTACCTCACCATAATGTATAAAGTCAAAGTAATGTACAAATATGCAACATCAGCAACATTTTTCAAGACATCGCTCTCAAGTTTAATGGTGCTGCCAATGGAAGTCGATCAAAAATTGATAAAAGCCTGGCACAGTCGACTACACTCTCATTCAAACTTCAAATCTATAAATCGATACAATCTATTTTTGGTACTTTCTTGAGCAAGATCGAGTTATCTATTTACGAAGTAGTTCTAAATATTTATTAAATAAAAAAATTCGCGTTTTAATAAAAATAAAAATAAAAGTTTAACTCAATGTTTGTGTACGATTGAGTCGTACACTTAAGGACCCTTTTACTCAAGCTAACTAAACAATAAATTGGTCAGATCAAATCAGGGCTATCAATAATGTTCTATTTATGTATACTTATTGTTTCTATATCAAACAGTTTTCGCATCACAGTAACAATACATCTAGTGATATGGCACAACATTACTACCTACCATATGGTACAACATTACTTCATAACTTTAGCAATACATCTAGTGATATGTTCAACATTACTGCATACCTTAACAATACATCTAGCTATATGGCCCAACATATACTTCATACCTTAACAATACATCTAATGATATGTCCAACATTACTACATACATAACAGTACATCTACGTATTTGGTCCAACACTACTACATACCATAACAATACATCTAGTGGTGTGGTCTAAAATATACCACTAGCGACAGGGCTCAGTGCTGACCACACCATCTCCTCACATGTCTGGTTCACAGAAACAGGTAAGCTCTACATCACTTGCCCCCATGGACATCAGGTTCGAAAAGTGAATTCTACTTTTTTAATGCCTCTATGTTTTAGTGAATACCACATCAAAAATCAATCAAATCGATCCAACACCACTGATCTCTAATCTAATTTCATCTACCTTTGGTCATGTACTCTCTAATTTCAGACTTGGAAATAAATCAAAGATAAGTTATACGGTCACTTGTCACAGGTCAGTTTGAGCGATGCCCGTCGTTACAGGGCGCCTAAGTATCCAATCGCATGTGAACTCAGATTGATATTAAGCTAAACGCTGAAAGAAACTGACAGCTACAGGTCAGGAGGGTCGTCTGTAAGGTCATGTGACACATCGCTCGGTCAATGAACCGACGTTGCAATCTCCGTAACACGATATGTGTCGTCTGCTGTTGTAACTGATTATAATATAACGAGCCGGCCCGCGGCATAACATACGCCGCTATTTAGTTGTTTCTAATTTTCAATAATTTATAATTTGTGAATTCGACAGTACCAACGCTGACACTGAAAATATTTCTTTAAAACACTATAAGTAGCTCGTTAAGGACCATAACCCCCCCCCCTTCCTTCCCTCCCCCCCCCCCCCCCTCCGTTTAAAATCGTTGGCTCTGCTTGTAAACATTTAGAGTGAACACAGCTCACTAAAACCATGTAGGGGTGGGGAGGTAGGGAGAGCGTTTGCAGCTTGTTTTCTAACGGCTCGAAGAAGAGAATTATATATATAGATAATATAAAAAAGCCTATGTGCGCAATACTCTCTATCTTTCTCTATGTCCGCAGGCTATGAGATCAGTATCGTCAGCAATAGGGCTGGTAAGTAGGTCACCAACCAGTTCTACGGCTCAATAAAACCTGAATGAGCCATAGAACTGGATGGTGACCTACTTACCAGCCCTACAGACATAGAACTTAATGATGCAGATTTTTGTTGAGAATAATAAGTTGTATGCATTAAATTTATAAAATAAATTTTATTTATAGAAGGAAAATAAAAATAAAGGCATATTTGAATGTTGAAAGACATTTTAAATTATGCAACCGGAAAAGTGTTTATTGCTGTGACAAGAACGCATTAAACAATGACGTCACATGTTACATGTACAAATTATGGAAAGTACACAACATTAATGGCGTCATCTTCCAATTTTAGAAAATGAAGAATGAACTATATCATTTAAATTTGATTTAGATCTAAACTACTTATCAAGTCGTAGGCTATGAGATTTATACAATTATCTCGGAACAAACTAATACAAATTACTTTTAAAAAATAACATAAGTACCATTGAACAGCCGGGTTTTTAACGAAATCATTTAAGCCTCTTAATCAGAGTGAGCATATACTTTGGTTTTAATTTTTCTAATAGGTATTAGAAGCCTATGTTATTTTAAATGTGTCCGATTTTTAGATATTTAGTTATTTCTTTGCTTTGTCACTAATGTCGTTCAACGTTTTTTTTTTTTTTTCACGCAGAAATCTTCTCGGAAGAATTCTCATCAGAGAGAGAGAATTGCGCACATGGGCTTTTATATACACGAGCCGACCCGCGGCATATCATACGCCGCTATTTAGTTGT